TTTCTATTTTTTTGGTAGAGCCGGGGTCTCGCTCTTGCTCAGGCTGGTCTCGAACTCCTGAGCTCAAACAATCCGCCTGCCTCGGCCTCCCAGAGAGCTGGGATTACAGGCGTGAGCCACCGCGCCCGGCCCTTAAATACTTTTCTTTATGCTAGAAACATTCAAATTATTCTCTTCTAGTCACTGTGAAATTTACAATAGATTATTGTAAACCATGATCACCCTAGGGATCTATCGCACACTAGGTCTTATTTCTTTTATCAAACTGTATACTTGTACCCACTAATTCACCTCTTCACTGGCTTTACTTCTTACACCAGCTTTGGGACCTCAGGAGATGACTTAACTCTCAGTGCCTCGGTTTCCTCATGTGGAAAATGGGGATGATCAAATTTACTCGATGAAATCACAGGGGGACGAAATGAGTTAATATTTGTAAAGCACACAATAAATACTAAGTGTTATATGAGTAAAAACAGTTAAAGAACATGTGTCACCCTGATCCTTTATTTTACTTTAGCACATTTTCAAATGTGAAGAGCACACACTGTTGGCACAGTGTGGGCCCTGTCCAGTGCAGGGGCCTTATATGCTTTCGATGGGCTGATCGCTGAATTCCTATTAACAACACAGCTCTGATCACTCCGTGGAACAAGACAGTTTTAGCACAAAACTGGCACTGCATGAAGAAACTCAACTATATATTAAGAAAGGGAGAAAAAATTCACAGATCGATGTTATACTAACATTTGTGGAGTGTTTACTCTGAGCCAACCACCGAGCCCAGCTCTTTAGATAATTTATCTTGTTTGCCTCTTATAACCTCCTAATGAGGTAGGTGGTATTATTATCCCATGTCATAGATGAGAAGTACCCCAAGGCTTAAAAAGGAGAAGCCCGTGGTTGCAGAGCTAGTCGCCCACTGACCCCAGAGGGGATGGGCCTGACCTATGGGGAAAACAGGACTGTTCATTTGATTAAGGAACTCCTTTCTATTTTGAAAATATAGCTCAAGATTTCCCAGGTGATCAGCGTTGTTACTATGTGGACGTTCATTAAATCTTGGCTGTAGATGATTTTGATGACTTTGCCCTACACCAAACTGGGAGGCTGGCCCCTTCCTCCACATCCTCGGGGTCTCCTCTGGGTCCCAGGATAGAAATCACACAATCAACAACTGTTTGCTGTTGCTAAGAGCTTAAGCTGTGAACTTTCTCAGGGAAATTTTTGCTCTCATTGAAAAACTGGCAATGCCTTCGAGAATCAAAGGAACGATGATGCGTGATGGGATCTGAGACGCTCTTACCAGCAGTGAGACTTCACTGAGGAGCGGTCTCCCAGAGCCCTTCAACCACCCAACAGACCAGTCCTGATGGCACATGTATAAGAGAAAATATCGTCATTGCATAGAGTAACTTTGGCAATTCCCTTCCTGGTGAGATCTTGGCCTGAGTTATTTTTCACTCCAAAGTACACATGGCTATAAGCTGCATCTATCTCCTCAGTCAGGGTGAGTTCTGCCTCAAGCCAGCTTCAGCCTGCTTAAGGAAATCAGAACCAGGAAAGCAAACGCCCCCGTCGCTTGCTGTGCTGATGCACATAAGGCAGTTGACACTTGTTTATAGAGAAACGTGGGGAATTCCCAGATGGAGGGAGGCAAGTCAGCTCACTTGTGGACAGGGGGCCACGTGGACCCAAAGGTGACAGGGAAGGTGATCCTTGTAAAGGAAAATAAAGGTTAAAAGAAAATCAAGGCCTGATTTTAATGTAATATGTGGGGACAGGCACAGAAATATAATTTTCTTTCTTTTTCCAATATTGAACTCAACTTAGTTCACCAGCCCCTAATTCCAGTTAGTAGTTGTATTAGTGTGCTAGGGCTGCTATAATAAATTATAACAAACCGGGTGTCTTAAAACAATAGAAATGTATTGTCTCACAGTTTTGGAGGCTACAAGTCTGAAATCGAAGTGTTGGTAGGGCCATGCTTTCTCTGAAGACTCCAGGGGAGAACATGCTCGATGCCTTCTCCTAGCTTCTGGTGGGTGCCAGCGGTCCCTGGTGTTCCTTAGTTTACAGACACATCACTCCGTTCTCTACTTCTGTAGTCACATGGCACTCTCCTCTCTGTGTCTCTTCTCTTCTAAGGACACCAGTCATATTGGATCAAGGCCCACCCTAACAACGTTCTTAACTTGATTACATCTGCAAAGACCCTATTTCCAAGTAAGGTCACATTCCCAAGTATTGGAGCTTAGGACTTCAGCATATCTTTGAGTGGGGGACACAGTTCAACCCATTAGCAGTAGAGGAATACTAAATCTCAACACTGAAGAAACTCAGTCCCTTCCAGTTGAAAACTCCGGTCTCTTTTAGAGGCTCATCCTGTCAATTCAGGATTCTCCCCAGTTCTCCACTCCTTCTTCTCCTCTCTCCAGGTAGTGAGGTCTGGGGTGGGCAAAGTGTTCTTAAGAATCAGGGCATGGCCAGCCTTACGCGAGGGGTATCTGACTGCATCCTTAACACAGTTCTCCCTGCGGCCCATCCTGCTTGGACTTGGGCATCAACCTTGGTCTTCGTAGCACATGCTGCTGCCACCACCAGCGCTGCTATGGGCTCCCGTCAAAAGGTCCCCATCGGCTGTGCCCTCCTTGTCTCAACCTGGAGGCCTCTTCCAGGCTCCTGAGCCATTTTTAGCCTAGCACTGTGCCTTGCTTTGCCGGACAGACTGGCTTTAGAAGCCCCTTTCCATAGCAACGAGACTTGAGAGGTGTCCTCAGCTGTGAGTCTAGCACTGGCGTTTCTTCTTTTCTTTTTTTGGTTCATGCTTTACTGGATGGGGGCTTCCCAAAGAGGCCCACAGTCTCATGGTCTCACAGGGCTAACCCTGGGATATTGCTTTGGGATCCCCAAACTTTTCTCTAGTTAATTTTATCCCCATCCCCTGGGACAGGACCCAAGAGTCACATGGCAGAGCCCTGCAGAGCAACTGTCCAAACTCTTCATGTCCTCTCCTTACCCCAGCCCCCTCCCCTCAGCCCCAGCCCAGAAAAAGAGTTTATCACTGTGTGCAGTGATGCTTCCCTTAGGATGCTTCTTCATTCTAGGATTTTCCTTTGAAATGCCTCAAATGACAGTGTCATTTGTGAACTTATCCTTCTGGGGGTGGAGGAGAAGCTTATATTAGACAATTGTTATGATGCAAAAAACTAGGAGGAAATCTGGATAAAATATTAAGCATACACAATTCATATGTTTGGGAGTCATCAAAGAGTTCTTTAGACAATGAGATATGGACCAAAATCCCTGAGAAAAGGGAAGTCTGATGAGGGGAGCCCAACCGTCAGTTTCTTTCTCCTCTGGAGGCATTTGCCAACCATTAAGTCTCCAAGACAGCCAGAGAGAAGATATTTGCAATAACTCTATGCAATAAAGGTCTGGCATCCAGAATATGTGTAGAACTGTGATTGATCAAGTAATTAAAAATCATTGCAATTTAAAAAGATTGGAACAGTTATTACTGAAAAGAAGATCTCCAAATAGCTAATAAACATGTAAAAATATGCTTGACCTTATTAGCCATCAAGGAAATAAAAACTAAGACCACGAAGAGATCCTACTACATACCCTCCAAATGGCTAAAATGAAAAAGAAAGGCATCATTGTACAAATGAGGAGAGTATAAAAAAAAGGACAATATAAAGTGTTGGCAAGGATGTATATGACACTCATAAATTGCTGATGGAATTATGAATTTGTCCCATCACTTGGGAAAAACTTTGACAGTAACTATTAATACTAAAATTAAACAGATGCAAACTCTATGATCCAGCAATTTTATTCCAGTGTAAATATCCAGCAGAAATGGCTGTAAATGTGCACTGTGTAGGTATAAGAATGTTTATAACATCGTTATTTGCAATAGCCCAAGCAAGGAACCACCCAAATGTCCCTCAACAGTAGAATGGATATATAAATTGTGGTATTATATACTTATATCATGGAATAGTATATAGCATAGAAATGCACCAACTCCTGTACAAATATTACAAATATAATGATGAAAGAAAGAAGCCAGACACAAAATAGTATGTACTGGGTGAATCCACTTAGATAAAGTTCAAAAACAGGGGAAATTAATCTATGGTGCAGGAGGCAGGGTAGCAGTTGCCTTTGGCATGAGGTGGGTTCTTGTAATGTTCTGTTTCTTGAGCTGGAAGTGGTTACACAGGTGTGTCTATCTGAGTCAATCCACAGAGCTGGACCTTACGGACAGTGCATTTTTCTGTATTCATGTATCTATAATAAAAATATTATTAAAACAAACGTTTCTCATGTGGACTCTTGATACGAAAAGCTACAGCTATAGCTTTTAGTGCATCTAGTCTCTGTATAAAATAGGATATAAAAATTATTAAGACTGAAATTGCTTTTTAGGTCTAATAATTGGATTGAATAAGGCCTGCTTATGAGGTCATCTTTACACTGAAGGTCCCTGAGGTGCAATTTGTAGATGAGCCCACCCTTTGTGAGCTAACCTCCAGGCTTTGCTTATTTTACTTCTTTAATTCCTACTGTAGTCAACCAGCAAAGGAATTATTCTACCCTAAAAATCAGACTAGGATTCACAGTGTTCCACACCAAAAACACAAAGACAGCAAATTCCTCCTCAGGACCTGGCTCAAGGCTGGGGGCCACGAATGAGGGCTGTAGAGTCCTTAGGGGCAGGAACTACACCTGGCCTCACACTTTTTTTCACACTTCTTTTTAAATGCCTCATCCAGGCTGGGTGCAGTGGCTCATGCCTGTAATCCCAGCACTTTGGGAGGCCGAGGTAGGAGAATCACTTGAGGCCAGGAGTTCAAGACCAGACTGAGCAACATAGAGAGATTCTGTCTCTACCAAAAAAAATAAAAAACAAAATAAAAAAAATTAGCTGGGTGTGGTGGCACATGCCTGTAACTGCATCTACTTGGGAGGCTGAGACAGGAGAGTCACTTGAGCCCAGGAATTTGACATTGCCATGAGCTATGATGATGCCACTACACTCTAGCCCAGGTAAGAGAGAGAGACCCTGTCTCAAAAATGAACAAATAGATAAATAAATGCCCCATTTTTGGCAATAGTATCTTCTGTAAAACCATTGCTCAGAAATATTTGCTTTCAGACGAATAATAATACGTTTTTCCTTCTTGGCTTCTTGAGGGGCTAAGGATGGGGAAGGAACGAAAAACAGCCCGAAGTTATGGTTTAATCTTTTTCACATAAGAACTTGTCACGTTGAAATCGCTCAATGGTTCATCACACAAACCTATCAGTGAGTCGCGCTGACTCCACGACATGGAGAAGGAACAGAGCAGCTTAACACAGAGCAAGGCTTGAGTCCCTAATCAGAACGGGCCCTGGGGGAAGGACCCCCAGGTTTTAGCAGATACTGCAGAATTCCTCTCAGATGAGAAAAGACATATGGTCAAATCTCGGTTCCATTTGCACATATCATAACTAATGATGATGGACATTGCTTACCAGCTATTACATTGTACCAGGCACCAGAGTAAGCATTAGACAAGCGCTATCTCACTTAATCAACTCAAAGAGGTAGAAACCGTTATTCTCCCTGTTTTGCAGATAAGACAACTAAACAAAGCTAAGGATGGTGAAATAACTTGTCCAAGTTTTCATGGCTACTAGAAGTAGTAAAGCCAGAATTCAAACATCTAAGTCTCCTGACCTCTGAAGCCAGAGCTAAGGCAAATGTACACAAAGAACAAGTCAGTGGCTAACACAGTCTTAGGTGATGAGGTGTACACACAAATAGCTATTTTAACAGACAGTCTGTGATAAGTGCCACAGGAAGAGAACAAGCAACGTGGAATGATCACTTCTGGGGGTAGGAGATTGCACCAATGGTAAAAAGGTAAAAATACCATCTCTATGTTAACAACAATATGAAAATCACACTGAATTTTCAAACTGGTGGCCTCTTCTACAATGATGTGGTAGAGCTAGGCTGAGAGCAGAACCTTTTGGAATTCCTCATTGAAGAGCAAAGATCTTGGATCTAGATATCAATGGAATATAGTCCAAAAGTTAAAGCTGGCGGAAGTTGGTGTTAGTCCCCTCCTGACTCTGCCCTCATGGGCCACACCTCTTCCCGGTCTCTCCAGGTACCATGTGCAACTGGAAAAGATAACTGGGGCCTTTGGGAGGGACAGTGCTGTGGGTGCTCTTCAAATGCCTCATGGACCATAACGTTCTCATAAATGTATTTTTTTTTTAGAGACAAGGTCTTGCTATATTGCCCAGGATGGTCTTGAACTCCTGGGCTCAAGTGATCCTCCTGTCTCGGCCTCCTGAGTAGTTGGGACTACAAGCACGTGCCACCACTCTCAGCCTATAGACAACGTCCAACGTACAAAGATCCATCACACCACTCATCCACTTACCATGTTTGAAGGAAAAGCAAAATGGGAAAACCCACTTTGACAAATGAATATATGGAGTATGTTATTATTCACAGTAAAACAGTAATTTTCTTTTGAACAGAAAATGGCTTCAATGTTATTACCATATGCTTACTGTTATACACCATTTGTTGGAGTTGCTATATATTGCCCAAGTAAATTTCAATATTTAGGTTCAGGCATGTCTATTTATACTTAGGTACTGTGGTTTACTTAATTTGGCACGCACCTCAGCAAGCCCCTTGTTCGGGGCTCCACGTTTTAGAGCCATAGACTGGGGCCAGCTTAAAGTACCAAGACTGGGGAAAACACAAGAAAGACTACTGTTCAAGCAATGCTTTCAATTTATTTATGCAGAGAAATCTTTCTTGGAAAACTCTTAAGTTGCACATTCTTTCACTGAGGCTCTGTTTGAAAGTTTGGCCCTGGGTTCCAAACCTAGGAGCTAAAACATTCTTCTACTGCGACATTTTTACAAAATAGTGTGAGATTGAGAGCTATTGCATCTGCCATGTGCTGGAAAGGCACACATTCATTTATTCCTTCATTCATCAGCTTGCAAGTGCGTACTCTGTGCCAGGCACAGGGCACGTTCCCGGACAAAGACACAATTCCTGCCTTAGAGAAATTCCAATCTAGAGCATGATTTGTATGAGGCTGATCCCATCCTGGACCGTCTCTTGGGCCAGCCTAGGGGGACAGCTAAATCTGATACTGAGCATCCTATTGACTAAAAGGAAAGCAAAAAAGTCCAGCCTGGGAGTTTGGAGTCATCCACCCCTTTTCCATCAGCCTGGTGGCTTATAGGCTGCCACAGCCTCAGTTTGATACCCAAGTGCCACGTCTCTACATGAAGGTGTGTTTGAGCACCACTGCAAAGGACTTGGGATGCTTTGTAAAATATCACTTTGCATCAGAGCTGCCATCAAAGGGAGAAGAGGAGAAATTATGGTGAATTTTAAAGCTTAATTCTACAATGCAATTTCCATCACAATATTTCCTTTGTGTACTTTTTTTAATTCATACAGTTTTGCTTTCTGATCACTCCAAAACTATATAGCTGTTATTAATATTTACATGAAAGAAACAAATGTGGCTGTTTTGATTCTGAGCCGTGGAAAGACAGTGACCAGGAAATTAGGTGCTAAGAACCAACATAAGGAGTAGAGAATTCCAGATAACAACAGCGCAAGCAGCCTGTGTTTAGCTTCTCCGCGTGTGGCCTTGCCAAGGAAATTCCGGAGCATTTGGATATGGCACCATATACGTAATAATCAGGATAAATACATGGACCCTGTCGTATGGAAGCTGTCCTTACTTGCAC